GTTGTTTAGAGGACTGCACTGACTTGTTCAGTACATACCTAGGGCATTAATTGTGTCTACACATGATCAAGGACCACTTCAGTTCCCATCCAATTTATTTAATTTTAGTATCCTTCTTGGTCAGATGCTGGACATCCAGACATTACATTCCACCAGCCATGCATGGGGTACTTTTCCATCATAAACCTCAAGACACATATACTATGTCTTCACACACACACACACACACACAATGCTTGTGAACATTACCTTGTTGCTTGGTATTACAGAGCAACTGAAAAAAGAGAGGTTAAAGCACAGAGAGTGGCTTCCCTGGGATTCAGTTTGGAGGGTGGCAATGTTAGGGGATTTACACATGCTCAGCACAGAGTAGTCCAACAAACCCCCAAATAAAGAAAATAACCTGATCATGTCTGACTAAACATCCCCTTTTCTGCTCACATATCTGTTGTTCCAAGATTTAGTCCTCAGGGCACGGATGTCACTGGATATTCTATGCTTGGCTCCTGGTTTAATTTGTCCTTCCAGCTCTGCTCTGATCATACAAAGACTGCAACAGGAAAGTCACTGCTTCCAGTTCAAAACCCCACACTCTGTTTTCCTTGGCTCTCCTGACTTCCTTCTAACACTTCCTGCTTCCCTAGTATTCCGGGTTCCTGTAGCTTTGAGTCCAGGAACTATAATTCCCAGGATGTTCTGTGAGAGAGAGAGGAAAAAGAAAAAGGAAAGGAATACTGTGAGCTCAGTGAAAGAGAGAGGGGAATACACTTTATTTTTTCTGTTATCTAGGGGTGTGTCTACACTACAGAGTTTTGTCAGAAAAATGGACATTTTTGCAATAAAACCTGCGTAACATCCACATTGCAGTCATGTTCTTCCACAAGTAAATAGAAAGAACAGAGGGTTTTTTTTCCAGCATTGGTAATCCTCTTTCTACAAGGAAGGAGGCTTTTTCTGAAAGAGCTCTTTCGGAAGAAGGCATGTGTGGACGGGGAGGAGGGGTTTTTTTTTCCAAAAGAAGAGGCCTCCAGGAAATAACACAGGTGCCCTGGTGGACACTCTGTCAAAATTAATCAGGACTCTATAGATCATGTCTCCGGGCCTCTCTTAAAGCTGCAGCCACCCTGGACAAGCCTTGTGGCAGGAAGCCGATCTGAGAGCAGCACTTCACCACATGGCTCTCCTTGCCACAGGCCTTGCCAGCCATGGTGGAGCCTCAAGCCCTCCACGAACCTCCTGGCCCTCACAGGAAGCAGCCCCAGGGGTCCCAGGACCTACCCAGGGGGACCAAGAAGCATGCACCTTCCTGGTCCGGAGTGGAGATCCTGTCCCTCCTCGAGCTGTGGTGCAGGACACCTCGCAGGATCTCTGTTCTAAGCACCGAAATGCTAAAATATTTGAGTGCATGGACAAGTCCCTGGCAGAGCATGGACACTCGACCCTGGACTTTAGAACAGGTCCAGAGTAAGGTGAAAGAGCTCCATCAGGGATATGTCCAGGCCAGAGTGCGCAGCTCGCGCTCATGGGCAGGACCCCACACCTGCCCCTATTTCGACGAACTGAACCAGATCCTGGGAGTGGGGAAATGGCTTTCCCACCCATTGTCATTGACTCTGGCCTTGAGACTCCCATCATTGCCCAGCCAGAGGTGATGGCGGAAGAGGAGCAGGAGGACCAGGCCAGGCAGAGAAGGAGACCCTGTCCCTGGAGCTGGTGCCAGTCAGCCAGGACACCTCTCAGGCCTCGTCGGATGCCGGGGAGGGATCTTCAAATGAGTGCTCTCAGTTTGTCACACACACTGGGTGGAGGAGGTGGGTACACAGGGGGAGAAGTGTGAGTCACTCAGGCAGCTCGGGCTGGACATCGTGCTGCAGTCTGTGCACATGGGACCACTTGCAATGTTAGTGTGTGGCACGCGGATGCAGCAGGCAGCCCCTGAGCATGGGTGGGATCCTGCTGCCAGGCTCAGGGGAGGCCACACACAGCTGGTGGGGCGCGCTCCCAGCACCTCCCACGGCTGGAAGCAGGCTAGTCACAAGGGTACAGGCATGACACCAGACACACTGAGGAGTGCTGCACACAGCACGTGGCCATGCCTGCATGTGTGAGGCACTACCTGTTCCTGTGGGCAATGCTGCAACCCCCAGGTGTGTGTGTGGACACCAGGGAAGGCCAGGCTACTCGTGGCTCCTCTGTTGCCCATGGGGGGGATCCCACTAGGACCGGACACTTCCCATGACTGCTTGTCCGGGGGCCGGGGAGGGGTTGGAAATCTGGCAGCATGGTCCTCTGGGCACTATGGGGCCCCTGTGAGGCATAACCCACTGTGCAGACCACACATGGCCTTGCTCTTGGGACATCCCCCTGCTCTACCCCGAGGACTGTTGGTCGGTGCTCACAGAGGAGAGCACGGCTTCAGGGACAGTGTCTGCATGGATGACTGACCGCCTCTTCCTCTTTGTGTTCTCCACAGCTGGACCAGCAGGGATGAGGGACAAATCACGCCACCAGTGCCAGCTGCCACAGCCCGGGGGGACCCGAAGTCTGTTCCAGGGCCCAGGAAGACCTTATGCGCCAGTATGTCAGTGTCCTGCGCAACATGCATCAGACCCTGGTGCAGAAGATGTGTGAGGATGCTGAGTGGTGGAACCATGCATGGGACCAATTCATGCTGCAGTGTGATACCATGTGTGCCATCATGTCATGCATGATGACACAACTGCCTGCTGTCGCTGCTCCTGCCTTCCACCCTCCTGACTTCCCTTATGCCCATTCCCCCTCTGCCTGCCCCCATACGATGCCTCTACCCCCTCCACAGTTGATGCCCATGATCCCTTCCCAGGTGATGTCCATGCCCCCTCCCTCTGTCCCACCTGCTGTCCCTTACCCCTCTCCAGCCCCCCCTCCTGCCCAACTCCTTGTGGTCCCTGGACCCACACAACCCCGATAAGGTCCCTGCACCTGAGGTGGCACATCTATCTGGCCCCAATGCCACTCTGAGCCCTCTTCCCCCTCCAGGTTATGAGGCCCTCTCCCCCTGCCCACCTGTTTGTAATGAAAGATAAATTCAAAGCTCATTTTGTTGGAATCCAAACAGGTGTTTTTATTGAGAGGTCAGGGAAGGGATGAAGGGAGGGGTTGTGGTGGGGAATGGGTATGGCAGCAAGCCAGAAACCCCTGTTGAGGAGGCCCTGGGGAGAGTTACTGGGGTCCTTGAGAAAACCTCTCTTTCAGGGCCTCCCAGATGCGTACCCCAGCCTGATGGGCCTGGTGGATGGCAGCTGTTCTCAGCTGCTTCAACGTTCACCCCTCATGCTTGGCATCTGCCCCCCTCCCCACCCGAAGGAAGGCCTCTCCCTTCCTCTCCACAATGTTGTGGAGGACACAATGTGCTGCGACCACCTCAGGGATGTTATGTTCCCCTATGCTGAAGTGGGTCAGCAAGCACCTGAAAAGTTCCTTGAGGCGGCCGAAGACGCACTCTACCCGAACCCAGGTCTGGTTCAGGCATTAAATTGGTCCCTGGTGGGGTCCAGGTGGCCGGTATAGGGTTTCATAAGCCACAGCATGAGAGGGTAGGCTGCATCCCCCATGAGGCACAGTGGCATCTGTATGTCCCCAACTTCATATTCACGATGGGGGAAGAATGTGCCTGCCTCCAGCTTCCTGCACAGGCTGGAATTACAAGACACGCAGGCATCGTGTGCTCTGCCCGACCACCCAACAAAAATGTCAGTGAATTGTTCACGGTGGCTGACCAGGGCCTGAAGCACCATAGAAAAGTAGCCCTTTCTATTAATGTACAGGGCCACTTGATGCTCCGGTGTGAAGATTGAGATGTGGATCCCATCAATGGCTCCGGCACAGTTTGGGAACCCCAGGGAAGTAAATCTGGCCATGATCAGGTCCATGTCTCCCAGATGGATGACCCTCCACAACAGCAGCGAGTTGATGGCCTTCACCACCTGCAGAAGGAGCTAAACAAATACACAAAACTGAGAATGAGAGGGAGTGCCCTTAGGAGATGCCCATTCCCCTCCCCCTCCCATCCCCTTTCCCCCTCACACATCCCTATGAGGGTGCCCCCCCCCAGCAGCAGGGCTGTGTGAGGGTGGGATGGCACAACCCACCGGGGATGGGGCTTGACACCCTCCCCCACTCCACCCCCCACAACTCCCAACCCTCTTTTCCCTAAGGTCCCACTTTTCCAGGACTTCTTCCCTCCCTCGCAGGGACTGCAGCCCCAGAGTGCCTTATCTCCATAAGGAGGGCCCTGACAGTGGACTTCCCCACGCCAAACTGGTTGCCCATCAACTGGTAGCTGTCGGAGGTGGTGAGCTTCCAGAGGGCTATTGCAACCCATTTCTGCAGGGAGATGGAGGGCGGCAGGTGGGTGTCGTGTCTCTGGAGGCGGGGGCGAGCCAGGTGCATAGCTCCAAAAAGGTGGCCTTCCGCATGCAGAAGTTTTGGAGTCACTGCTGGTCATCCCACCGCTCCATGACCAGCCGGTCCCACCAGTCTGAACTGGCGGAGAGCCTCCAAAAATGCCTCACCACAGTGGGCTGTGGTTGTCAGAGTATAGCTCCCACACCCAGGTCCCCAGAATGAGCTTGGGGTGGAACACAGTCAGGATCAGGAAGGCAGCTGGCACAAATTGCTGCAAAAACTGCAGCATGGCTGTTTGGGGCCATTGCGTGCCCAGGGGCAGCTCCGGCTCCGTGGCTCAAAGGAAAAAGCTGAGGCAACCACAGAAATTGGGCAACCATAGCAGGCACTGTGAGAGCTTTGCTGTCCCTCGAAAAGGTAGGCAAGCATGCAGCAGAAGCAGAGAAATGGCTGTCTGGGGAAGGGGGGGGGGAGCTTTTAAGCACATGTCTCTGCAAGGCTCCGGCACCAGCACTGGGAAGCAACTGGTAATCTAAAGCCTTGGCTGAAGTGCTTCTGGGTGGCCTTTTAATCGAGAGAGCATCCAATCAGTCTGGATACTCTCTTTTGAAAAAGCGCATCACTTTTTCAATGAGCTTTTGTGTGCGGACACTCTCTTTTGGAAGAAGTTTTTTCTTTTTTCAAAAAAGATTCTTCCAAAAGAAGCCTGCAGTGTAGACATAGCCTAGTTCTCCAATCTTTCCTTCGTGTACAAACCAAACTGGCTCTGGGCATAAAAGAAGCACAAAGAAATAGAAATCTATCTTATTCAACTGCCTCATGATACCTGCTGTTACTGTTCCCAGAAAGCAACTGCAGCTTACTGAGAAGATAAATTTAAAGGTGCAAAGTGTATTTTTTCATAGTGCTCCTATTTCTCAGGTGACACATTCCTTTGTAGTTCTGAGTACCCCAGCTACACCACCAACGTAGTTTTATAGGACAAATTGGCCCTTTCTGTGACTAGCATTTCTTACCAGCTGATTCTTGCTCAATTCATTAGACCTTTCCAGCTTGCTTCCACATTTATTACAATGATGCAAGTTCTGCCTTTACCATTTTTGTGCCTATGCAGGATAAGTAATGGAGCAATGGAAGTCTCATTTCAGTAGCTATATTGTTGCTATAGTATCTTGTATTTACATTTTAGAAAAACAGAAAGCCTTACTGCTTCATTGCCTTGGTCCTGCAGGACATTGAATTTCAAGCATCTCCCTCCCTTACAACAAAATGCCCATGCGATCCTTTTCTCCAAGCCCTGTATGAGCATTTTAATCCTATACTTAATGTTGTTGCCTAACACTTCAAGTTCTACTCCCATGTATGCATGCCTCACAAGCCCATGGATCACTACATAGCTGCAGTATGTGAGCTGAATATAACCGGTGAATTTTCCAGTTTCACTGATGAAATGTTTGGAAATCAAGTTTTCATGAAGATTAACAGTTGCCGGATTCATGAATGAATCCACTGCCCAAATTCTAAACCCATTTGAATTTGAGACACAAATAATTGTCACAGAAGATGCTTGTTGGTGCTATTTTGACTCAGCTAAAAAACAGATGAAAAATCACTATTGAATTCACTTGCAGAGTCCTGACAGACCACAGAAAACCTTGTCTGTCATTCAGCCCTGGTCTACATTAGGGCGTTATTTCAAAATAAGGGGAATTATTTTCAAATAACAAGCAGAATATCCACACTACCAAGCCCATTATTTCGAATTAATGGGCCGGTTATTTCAAAATCATAACTCCTACTTTCCACGAGGAATAGTGCTTATTTTGAAATATTTCTTTTGAAATAGTGATTGTGTGTACTCTCCACTTGAAATAACTAGTCCCCAGAGTCATTCAGAATAATTACTCCCTAGTGCTTCCTGGGGCTCTAAGTCAAGGTAGGATGTACACATTAAGGGAGCCTGCCTTGGACTAATTTTGCGGCTTCCCTGCAGTGTGAACACTATTTTGAAATAGTTATTTCAGGAGTTATTATTTTGAAATAAGTTATTTTGAAATAATTTCCTAGTGTAGACATGCTGTAAGGAAGAAGCACTAGCATGTTTATGGACAGTAAGACACTACAGAAATTACCTTTGGTGAAGGAGATTTATCTTAAGATCTGGTCACAAACCTCTTTCAGCTTCACATGGGGTTCTAGCAACTCAAGAGTTGAAAAATGGGCGACTAAATTAAGAGAATTTGATTTCCAGACAGTGTATTTTCCAGGTGCCAAAATACCATGGTAGGCTGTCCATCTCATCTGTCTATACATTATCATGAGGGTGGAATAGAGAAAGAGGTAGAAGAGACTCTTATTACACAAATATCTGTTATAAATTAAGATGCGATGACAGTCTGAGTGGCTGAAAGCCATTAGAGAAGACAAGGTACTCCAGGACCTAAAGACTTACGTAGTCAACAGTTGGCCTTTAAAGATGATGACACCAGAACACTTGCAGTTATATAAACACATATATCATCTGACCTGTTCCTTGTCAATTAATCTCTTTTGAGAACTGACTATCTTGTACCTACACTTCTGAGAGAATGGCTGATTTACGTGGCACATGAAGAACAACTGAGGATGAGGTTAACCAAACAATGGCGTCTGTGGCCAGAGATGGAAAAGCAGCTTGAGGAAATAAGAATTTCAAGGCTTATGCCAGTAGTGATAAGTCACAGAAAGCCTTCAGCATCCCTCACACCAGTTGACTATCCCAACTATCCATGGGAGGAGTGCTTTCTTGACATAATGGGACCATTTGAATATCAGCCCATTCAGCCAGTGGATTTCTCCCCTAAAGCAAGACAGCCAGCAAAAGCCTGAAAGCCATATTGGCTCTGCTGATGTGGCTTTCGTGGGCTTGGTGATATGCTGTTTGAATATAACAACTGACACTACAGATTTTCTTATGCTCTACCCCATTGAGAACAGTAATATGCAGAGTGTGTCACCTGTGCATTATGAATGGGTTTTTAGGTCAGCTGCAAGGTATGCAGGCAGAGCATCACACGTCACAGATACTTAGCAATGAATTACTATGATGCTATCCACATAACTTCTGTGGGAGCCTTCTGGATAACCTACATAGAAGATGAGTTCTTCCTCCCCTCTGTCTACAATCACTATCATTCAGAGTGTCCAGAAGTTATAGTCACGGAAAAGTAGCCACTGAAATAATGATTAAATTTGTATAATCAGTTTTTGCCTGAGAAGATTTTTTAGGGAATTCGTAACTGACAATGGAAAGCAACTACTCTCTGTTGAAATTCAACACTCTCCGTAACAAGTATGAAGCACAGAACTATTCTTTTATCTCATCTAAAGCAAATGGTTAAGTTAAGAAAATGAACAGACTAGTGAAACATAGTTTGCATCTTACCACTTTACAAGTGAAATTGTGGAAAGAAGCTTTACATGATAGATTATTTGCTTGCAGGACCATTCCACACTCAACAACAGGAGTATCACTCTTGGAACTGTTAAGAGGCCACAAGGCCTCTACACGACTTCCTGTCTGTCAAGGGTTTACACATTCTTCTTTCTCAACCACCTTCTGATGGAACTATTTGTGAATATGTTAAGAACAAACAGGAGAAATACAGTCAGTACACATATCGTAAGAAAGGTGCTAAACCTCACAAGTTTATTTGTGATGTAGCCATACAGAGTAAAGAAAGGATGTTGAAGAAATTAATATCCTTGCATGTTACAGAAATACAGAGGAGATTCTGCTGTATTAATAACAGAAAGAAATGGAACACCAGTGTTGGCTACAGCTAATAGGCAACTGAGAATTACATTGCACAAGGGATAAGGAATGGTTCAAAATAGCCTGTTATTTCAAATTTGTTGCTGAGTAGATGTGCCAGATTTCAAAATAAGCTATTTTGAAATAGTTTTGAAATAAGATACTCAATTTGCATAGTACAAATTGCATATCTTATTTCAAGTTAAGGGTGCTATGTAGACACATCCTAGGTGATAAACTGCATGGTCCAGAGATAATTTGTTGTTATTATGCACCTTTTGATTACTTTACTTGTCTTCTGCCCTTTAATTCATCTTTACTGGATTATTTCTAAACTTCTTAACCAAAGAGAAACTTCAAATAGACAATTTTAAAATAAACTGCCCCAGGAGTGTTTCCTAAAAATATTAATTTGGTGAAAGATGGGTATTGTTAGTGCCAGGACTCCTGGATGGCTAGATCTTCAAAGGTCATAAATCAGAGTAACTCCACTGACTTCTCTGTCAATGGAACAGGTAAATAATCTATTCTGGAAGCCTCTATAGCACTTAAAAGTTTGAAATCTCCTTTTCAGTGGCATTAAAATTTTATTCATCCCTTGAATATTATAAAGTATTAGATCGTATAGCAACAATATTGTATATGGAAAAGTTATTTAAGCTATTTTAAGTTAAGTCTTTGTGGTTTTATAAAATGCAATACTTAATTGCTTAATTAACATGAATCAGATGATTTTACAGAAAGAAATGCATGCAAATTAGGACATTTTAAAATATTGATTGATTGATTGATTGATTTAAAATATTTTTACCCTGATTCTCTG